CTAGTATCAGGCTCCAGCAGCTCAGCCAGTCGGATTAGTTCAGCCGGTTATTGCGGCACAGGTTGGAGATGGGCCAACTATGTCTTCTGAGGCTTTATGGAGATTGGATAGGTTTATCATGCTCTTTATTGTTCACTTCAGTGGTGCTCCTTCAGAGGGTCCCCAGGAGTATCTTTGACAGCTGTCACGAGGTTTTACGAAACATGGGTATAGTGGAGACCAATGGGGTCGATTTTGCTGCATTTCAGATGACTGGTTCCGCCAAGAAATGGTGGAGAGATTACTTGTTAACCAGACCAGCTGGGTAGCCTGCTCTTACTTGGGACCAGTTCTCTCAGCTCTTCATAGAGAAATTTCTACATATCACATTGAGAGAGGAGCGGCACCGTCAGTTTGAGCGTCTCCAGCAGGCCAGTATGACTGTCACTCAGTATGAGACCCGTTTTGTGAATTTGGCCCGTCATGCTATTCTTCTGCTTCCCACCGAGAGAGAGAGGGTGATGAGGTTTATTGATGGACTTGCTCAGCCTATCAGATTGCAGATGGCTAAGGAGACTGGGAGTGAGATTTCTTTTCAGGCGGCTGCTAATATCGCCAGACGAGTCGAACTAGTTCTTACTCAGGGAGGTCAAGGGTCTGACAAGAGACCTCGTCATTCCGGTGAGTTCAGCGGTGCCTCATCTAGAGGCAGGAGTACTTCCTCCCAGGCCGTTTCATTCAGCGCTCCAGGCATCCCACAATGCCTCAAGTGGTCGTGGCCCTCAGATGCATTATTCCGACCAGCTAGCCTACAGTGCACCACCAGTTCTTATTAGTGCACCTGCACTCCAGAGTTATTAGGGTGGTTATTCAGGTCGACAGGGTCAGTTTCAGGGTCAGCTGTCACAGCAACCGAAGTTATGTTATACTTGTGGTGATCCGAGGTACATTGCTAGATTTTGCCGACGCAGGTGCGAAGGTCGCTGGGCAATGAACATTTAATTCGGATTCTAGCCATTTTTCTTCTCGTTTTCAAAAGGATAAGAGGCCTAGGGCGATCTTTCAAAGACACTTTCTTCCTCAAATCATAGATAAGTGTTCCTTAACTCGTTTCTTTCAATCTTTTACTTCATTTTACTAGAATTCAACCTAAAATCTAGAGTTTTCATGATAGAATTAGAGGTTAGGGTAGAAACTAGGAATTTCGGAAATTTGGGGATTTAGACCTCGATTTGAGGTCGGATTCCAAAACTAACTACATATTCGGGCTCGGGGGTGAATGAGTAAGAGAATTTTGGTCCGAACCTCGGGTTTTGACCAAGCGGGCCCGGGGTCGATTTTTTCGACTTTTTGGAGGAAAATTTTGGAAATTTAATTTATGAAATATAATTGATTCCTTTAGCAATATTTGATATTAATGAATCATTTTTGAATAGATACGAGTGGTTTAGAGGTGAATTCCAAAGGAAAAGCTGTGATTGAGAATTAAGTGGCCTTTAGAGTGGGGTAAGTGTTGTGTCTAACTTTGGCTTGAGGGAATAGGTATTGTGTGAGTATTTGCTACGTGTTTTGTTGTTGAATACGACGTATAGTTGAGGTGATGAGCATCTATACGTTGTGGTCGAGTCGTAGTATGCGAGTGAAATTCCATTTCTTGCAAATTGTAGTCTTAAATCTTGTTATCCATGCTTATTGTTGTTGAAATGTTGGGAGACTTGTATCTGGTTCCACCAAGGTCGATAATATTGTGAATATTGATTCGAGGTCGAGATGTTAAATTGTGGAAGTAATCATTGATGAAATATTGATTTCTTGTAAAACTTCTCTTTATCCGTTGTTATTGATTTTGTGAATTGTGAGGAAGAGTGTAAAGCACGAAGGGTGATGCCGTACATAATTTAATTATATTGTGAGGAAGAGTGTAAAGCACGAAGGGTGATGCCGTGCATAATTTAATTATATTGTGAGGAAGAGAGTAAAAGTACGAAGGGTGATGCCGTACAGTCTTATTTGTTACTTGGTGAGGTTGAGAGTAAAAGCACGAAGGTGATGCCGTGCAGTTTTCCTTTGCTGTTTTAATTGCTTAATTCGTTTAAGGATTTTCTGTTTAATTCTGTCTTTTCATTATTCTCACTCTTTATGTTGTATTCCCCACTGTATGTCCCCTTTCTATTATTTCTGTATTATTTCTTTATTTACTGTTGTTGCCACTAGCATGATTATATTGTTCATGTTATATGTGGGTGTCTTGTCCTAGCCTCGTCACTACTTCGCTGAGGTTAGACTCGACACTTACCAGTACATGGGGTCGGTTGTACTGATGCTGGACTCTGCACTTTCTATGCAGATTTTGATACCGGCTCAGGTTGATCGAGATTTGCTATTGGTCCGCTGTCCGGAGACTCAAGGTAAATCTGTCGGCGTTCATAGACCTTGAAGTCCCCGTCTATCTTTTATGTCCTACTGTTTTCTTTCATTCAGACAGTTGTATTTTTTTTAGACTATTACTTGTCGTAAATTCTAGAATGCTCGTGAATGGTGACACCAGATCCAGGTGGTAGTAGTTAATACAATTTTATGATATTCCGCACTTATTATATTCCATCTTAGTTAATTATTTTTTTATTACTGAATGGAAATAAAAAATTGGTTAATGATTCTCTAACGTTGGCTTGCCTAGCAAGTGAAATGTTAGGCGCCATCACGATCCCGTCGGTGGGAAATTTCGGGTCGTGACAATGCATAGGAAAGCAAAAAGAAGCTAAGCAGTTATCACGATGATGAGAATCCTGAGGCGATGGAATGCAGGGTTTTCTTCTGGTCTCATTATTCCTGAGAAATACCCTGAGGAAACGACTACAAGAAGACAATCTTATAACTTAAGGAGCGTACTTGATCCAAATGATTTGATGATATCAAGGTAATATTGTACTCTCTTTTTGGTCTTAGCAATGTAATGATTTCTGCTATGGAGGTTACGTGTCACTTATATGCTAAGCTTGGTAATCACAAGTTTTTTAAAGATTTGTTTAGAAAAATAATCTCCTTTAGTTTGAGTTTGATCGATTAATAACTTCCCAAAGGGAAAAAGTGATATTTGGATGCTCTCAAATATGAAAATTTAGCGCATCCTTTAGAGTCTCCATATATATATATGGATGTCTCATCCCAGTGCAAAGCACATGAAGAATCCTAAGCCTCAACTTCTTTGCTTTTCATGATGTCTAAAAATTAACTTGATATGTTTCGAGAAAGGTACTATTACATCTATTAACGGATGCTAATGATTGCATCTGCATATTAATTTTTTTCAAGCACTACTATAATATTGTGAATCCAAAAGATTTTGCAAGGCATGATATAAGGAGCCCAAAATTTTTCTCTGTGCGTATGAAAATGATATGCACGGCAATGCTAGAGATTTACATTAACGATAAGGTATATTCTAAAAAAATCGGATTAGATATATTTGTGAAACTCCTATAGTTCATACATGATGAAACTATTTTGGAACTAATAAGGTGTCATCTTATTTGGTAGTTTGATACTAACAACAATAAATATTGCATCTCTTGCGAAGATTTAGATTCCAAAGTAAAAACTAAGGAAAACAATAGAAGTAATCCATCAAGGAGATGATTTCCAACTCATCTGTTACTGTTAGTTGCGTATGCAAGCTAATATTTGTTTGATTCCCAGCTCATTTCTTCATTTTGTCACGAAGGCGAAGTATGAAAAGCTTATGACTGCTTACAACAAGTAGCAGTTTGGCTTCCTGTAACTTAGTTTTTTTGAAGATTCAAATGATCTCGAGAACAATATTCGTGATTATTATAAAGTTGTAAAGGGGGCTTTCCATGTTCTCTCTTCATCCATTTAACTGACAAAAATGCTCAACTGCAAGGGCAAAGAAGAATCTTAGAGGCCAAATTCTGAGGTCCATGATGATGATGAGGAGGAGGAGGATAGTGGGCAGGTAATAGTAGTATTACAATTCTTTTTTACTTAGATCACTTTGCTGCCTTTTATTTATGTCAGCACATCTGTACCATTTTTAAAATTGGAAGTATCAATAAACTAATAAATATGAGAAAAATAGACAACCAGTAGCAACTATGTGCTTTTTGCACATTTTAAGTCAGGAATATTATATGTGACAGACGGAATATTTCAACACATTCTCATTTATCTTGATTTATTAATTACACTGAATATTTTAATGCTTCTGATTTTATTTAGTCACTCATACTTATAGTTTGTCAAGTACCATTGGTGGACCCTCCCTTTTTTATAAGTAAAAGGTAAAGGTACCATTAATTGATGGACCTATAGACACTGCTTCTTGTGATGGTTGAAAGTATGTTTTCGTGAAATAATATCTCAATTCTAGAGAGGTTCCTGTTACAGTTTAAGTAAGGGATATCTGCAATACTCTGCTTCCGCCATGGATAAGTGATTGTCATGCTCAATTGGAGATGTAAATTGTTATTGGAGTGTGTTAAAGCTATGATTATGACACTTATTTATAAGAGGGAGCTCCTGAAGTAATTTAGATGCTCAAAAAGGCTTTATCATGACATTCTCAATCTATTGCTTAAAGTATCTGTTATGCCCTCAGGGAGTAATACCACTCTTGCTATGTTCGAATACTATGTTATTACTGATTTGGTTATTACAATATTGCATTTTTATGTCACGATGCTCATTTTAATGAGTCTTTGCTATATAGATTCAACTACCAGATTTTCTGTTTCTGTTTCAGGTTAGGGAAACAATGTGATAGTTGTTATCTTTCTGCATAGTGAATTTTTTTTGGTTGGAAAGAAGTGGACTAATTTTGGAATTACCAAATTTTCTTTGCAGCCAGGGTACTTATCTCTTCCATAATGGATCTTACAAAATTATATCTTTCGTTCATCAAAGATTTGATAGGTATTTACTTGCACTTTTGAAGGTAATATAATAGTTCTCTTATGTAGGTTTTCTAGGATTGATGGAGGGTGGAGGATGACTACTAAACTGAGATTATTACTTGTGCTCATATAGGATGATGGATCAGATGGTGTTCTTTATGTGCTCTAAGATGCAAACCTTTTTTATATTATTGTGTATTCAATCTGTATAGTTATATGCTTTTGATGAAATGGATAAGACTAGAGACCTGAATTACTTTTATATCATGATCTGCAGTGCAGAAAGTCTCCTATTATGTACATGTGAAAGGAAAAGTTATTGGTAGTGTTTCCTTATTTTTACTGACTAATCGGAGTTGTTCTTTGAAATTGATTATATTGTTGCAAATTATAAGCAAGTAATAATAATAGATAGAAATGATAACACCTTTTCTTTTGTAATCTTTACTTGATACTCGGTAATAGTGCTTAATTATACCTACCTTAGAGCTAAATTGTCTAATTTAAAATTTCACGTTGGGCCCGTTATGCACGGGTAACACCTACTAGTGTATATATATATATATATATATTGTGCTTGCCAATGTAAAATTCAAATATAGCGCATGCAACTCATGCGCTATACCTTAAGGGACAAACGTACCGTTAAGGTATAGCGCATTGGAAAAATATAAAGTCTATCAGATCAATTTTGCTTTCCCTCTATTATATTTCAATAAAACTAAGTCACTGTTAATCACGAAGAATGCTGCTCTTCTTGCTAATATCGCAGAAGTAAAACTTTTATTATTTTGGAGAAATACACTTGGGCAGATTATCTATTACAATTAACTACTAGAATTCAAACTTCGTCTCAACCCTCTTAGTTAACTAGACTACTACAGATCTATAATAATACTAAAATGTATTTGCATATATTAACAACCATTATTGAATTCTGTATTTACTGCAAATATAAAATATCTAAGTAAAATGAAGAATTAACTTAAATAGCCGTCTACCCAAGCGTTTAAATTTAAAATAGTCAGTATATAAATTCATGTATAATATGTGTATAATCTATCCATATTGGTTAGAAAAAGTAAACAATGTATTCAACCGACTATCTGTGTAAAGATCCTAGAGGATATTTGGATTGGCTTTTAAGATTGTCAAATTAGCCTTTAAGCTCTTTTTAGCTTTTTTTTTTTTTTTAATACATGGCACAATAAAAAACTGCTTAAATAAGTAAAAAAGTTCTTAAAACAAGCCAAAAACCATGAGCTGAAATTGACCAACTAATTGCTTTTTGGCTTTTTAAGATATTTTGGGTTGATTAATAATTTTACGTTTCCTTATAACTTTTCGTAATTCCCACATTATCCTCAATTACAAAATCCATAAACTATCATTCCTTCTCTTTTCTTCATTCCTCCTCAAGTACGATCGTTCTGTTGAGTTTTTAAGCTTGGTGTAGCTTAAAAGAGGGTGAATGGAAAATGAAGGGAAAAATAAAATTTTAATTTTCCTTACTTGACAAAGGAACATTGTCCGGAGGAAAGCTCATTTGTTGAGTATATATATAATTACACTTCTTCTAGTTCTTAAAGAGTTGAGAAGAAGGCAAGCCTCGTGCCGTCGTCGTCGCTCGGCTCGGCTTCGGCTTCGAATTTTGGACCAAATTTATTTGTTAAATATTAATATTTAATCCAAATCGACCTTTTTTGTAACGATAATTTAAAGTTTCCCTCCGATTTTATTTTTCCGTTTTATTTTTGCGTAAATAGTAATTTATGTAATAGCCATTTTACGTGAACGGTCATCTTGAAGAGTTGCACCTTTTCATTTAAACCCAACTTGCTGGCTATATATAGAAGGCCATTCCTCAGATTTTTCTTACGAATTTTCTGAATTCTCCTCTTTCTTTCTGCATTGTTTTCTTATAAAACAAACAACGTAAGTGTGATTTATTGCCGCCATTTGTGTTCGTTGAAACACTGGGGTTTGAAGTACCGCTACACCAGTGTGTAATCCGTTCTATCCTGGGAAGAAATAATCCACAACCTCGGGTACTAGGAGGGGATTAAGTTCCTTAAGGAAATACTGTGAATTCAGTAGGATCGGATTAATTTCTACTTCTTCTACATTTATGTTTATACGTTGTTTTCTTCTCTAGAATTATTTTACAAATACAGTATACTAACAAGCTTAAGAAACTTATGTATTTGTGTTATACATACTGTTCTGGAGACTAAAACCTGTGTAGTTTTCTACTCCCTTTTTGGAGATTAAAGCCTTAGTGGTTTTCTACTCCAATTATTTACTTTAACGTATATTTTGTTTTGGTTTATTATTTGTTATTTGGAGATTAAAATCCTAGCAATTTTCTACTCCATTAGAGATTAAAATCTACGTGATTTTTTACTCCAGTTTTATTCGGTTTGAAGATATAAAATCTTCGTTGTATATTAAACATTTGTTTGTGTCGTTCTTTTCCAGAAATGACGACTGTAAACGGAAACCAACTTGTTCCTATGATGACTGCCAATGCATCGACAAGCCGAACAACACCGGCACTGGCACCGGCACCGACAGAAAAGCCCGAAATTTTTTCCGAAATTAATTTCAAGCGGTGGAAGCAGAAGATGTTCTTCTACTTGACGACTTTAAGTCTACAAAAGTTCATTAAGGAAGATGTTCCTGTTCTGCCTGACGAAACTTCAGAAAATGAACGCTTTCTCGTGATTGAGGCGTGGAAGTATTCTGATTTTTTGTGCAAGAATTATATTCTTAGCGGATTAGAAGATGATTTGTATAACGTCTATAGTAATGTGGAGACGTCAAAAGAACTGTCGATTGCGCTTGAAAAGAAATACAAAACTGAGGATACCGGGTTGAAAAAATTTGTTGCCGCAAAATTTTTGGACTACAAAATGGTAGATAGCAAGTCTGTTATTACCCAAGTCCAGAAATTGCATGTGATTATTCACGATCTCCTTGCTGAAGGTATAAGTAGAATTAATACTTTTGTTGAAAGTATTAATTATATTATTATTACTAATATAATTTTTATTGAAGGTCTTGTCATCAATGAAGCATTCCAAGTCGCAGCAATGATTGAGAAGTTGCCTCCTTTGTGAAAGGACTTCAAAAATTACTTGAAACACAAACGCAAAGAGATGTCGCTCGAAGATCTCATTGTTCGGTTGAGGATCGAAGAGGATAACAAAGCTGTTGAAAAGAAGGGTCGTGGAAACTCAACAATAATGGGAGCAAACATTGTTGAGGATGCTCCACAAAATAATAAAAAGAGGAAGAAGCCTTAAGGACCAAAAAGCAACCCAAGCAAGAAGCGATTCAAAGGAAATTGCTACAACTGCGGGAAAGCTGGACACAAATCTGCAGATTGTCGTACTCCAAAGAAAGACAAAAAGAACGGTCAAGCAAACATGGTTGAAAAGCATGAGTATATTGATGACTTGTGTGCTATGCTTTCTGAATGCAACCTGGTGGGAAATCCTAAGGAGTGGTGGATTGATTCTGGAGCCACTCGCCATGTTTGTACTGTTAGAGAAGCATTTGCTACATATGTTCCCGTTAGACCCGAAGAGACGCTTTCTATGGGAAATTCTACAACGGCCAAGATTGAACGATGTGGCAAGATATTTCTGAAAATGACTTCTACCAAGGTGGTGACTCTGAACAACGTCCTTCATATTCCTGAAATTAGGAAGAACTTAATCTCTACTGCACTTCTCGTCAAGAACGGGTTTAAGTGCGTGTCATGACCCAAAAATCCACCTAGTCGTGATGGCTTCTAACCCAACCCGTCAGTTAAGCCAATTAATAACTATCCAATTTAAATAAGATTTATTAAAAAAAGAATGAAAATACAACTGCTTTATACAAGAGTTTCCCAAGTACTGGTAGTACAAATCATAAGTTTCAAAGATAAAGAATTTACAAAGCTGGTATGAAATAAAGTACATCATCTGTTTGAAATATACATGAACAGAATAAAATTCTAAAGCTACCAAGATCAAGAGGCAACTATGATCGGAACACATGTGTATCTTCAAATCCAGCTCCCACCGTGCACATCAACATCAACATCTAACATCTGCACGCAATGTGCAGAAGTGTAGTATGAGTACAACTAATCCCATGTACTCAATAAGTAACAAAGCTAACCTTAGGTTGAAAGTAGTGACGAGATGGAACAAAGGTCGGTGTCCAACACCAATAGCCAACAACAGTTCATAACAACATAATAAAAGTGATAAAAGAAGTAACTCAGAGATATAGTGCTCAGCTCGTTCATAGTTCCGGAAAATAGGCATGCTTTTCAAGTAGGTTAGTGAAAACCCAAATTTTTTACCAAAATCACCAAAATATGAGTACATTTGTAAAACTGTGATTTTTCCCAAAACTTTCAACAGGTAAATGTTTCATTTTCAAATGGCATAAGGAAAGTACATCTCTATGCCTACATGTCAATGTGTATGTGAAGTCATGAATGACACAATATCGTACAACATGAGAGAAAATGCGTCTCTATGCCTGTATGTCAAGTGTGCATGTCGAATGCAATGCAACTCAGTGATAAATCTCTACGTGCTAGAGTAATTGGGTTATGATCCATGTTAGAAATCATGTCTAGGCTATATGCTTATCCTGTTGGGACCCACTGAGATCATTTCTGCTGTTGAGTTATTTTCTTACATTGTAATTACATACTTAGTCATACGCATTCATTTACATATCATATCTCAGTCTCTGTTATCATTTATTGATACATCACATCATCATGTTGGGCTGATTTTCATGACATTGTGAGCCCGAGAGACTAGAGAGATTGATGACTGAGTGAGGCCGAGGGCATGATGGTGAGGATATTGATGGGATCGGGTTGCACGCCGCAACATGTTTTATTGATTTATGCCATGATTGGCTTGTTATAGCGCTTGGGCTGAAGGATCCCCTCCGGAGTCTTTACACCCCCAGTGAGCACAGGTACCTACTGAGTGCTAGTGTCGAGTGCGAGTGCCGAGTGAATGGAAGGACTGAGTGACTGGGAGGATTGAGTGAATTGATATTCTGAGAGTATACATATAGATACAAATAAGATTATGTAACTACACAGTACCATAAGAAATAACACAATTCACACGGTGCACGCCCACATGCCCGTCACCTAGCATGTGCGTCACCTCAACACCAAACACATATCACGTATATTTAGGGGTTCATACCCTCAGCACCAAGTTTAGAAGTGTTACTTACATCTAACAAGCCAAATCCAATACCGAGAAAGCCAAGCCATGCTCCAAAAATGTCATCCCACGCGTACCGACCTCTGAACGACTCGAAA